ATAAAAGGAGCAGAATAAAGTGATGCTACGAGAATGCTAACAAGAATAAATAATAATAATAAAAAGAACTTTTATTATGAAATTGCATACTCTTTCAATATGGCACTGAAACGCTTCCTTTCAGCCAAGGTAAAACCAGGCTGTCCACAATCCTGCACCATGAAGAAGCTAATTGTCAGTTTTTTTTTTTTTTTTTTAAATTCTGGGAATACAGCACCGCGCCTGGTGATAGATGATATTCAGATCTTGTTCTAATTACAATTTTTTTAAATATATATTAGGAAACAATACTAATATACCAAAAAAATTGAAATGAATCTTTAAGATAAATCAACACAATTTAGGACTCTAGACTTATTCTCGGTCTTGTTCTGATTCTCTATCTCATCATGAAATATAGCATCCCTTAGTCAACGACTTCAACCAATAGTGGGAGCATCATACAACTTTTATCGTCTCATAGGTGCCTATCATTTCAATACTCTATATTACAGCCAAACAAATGATTAGCAAAATAACATTAAATACTTTTAAATGAATGCAAGTCCGAATAGAAATAGATAAGTGTATCCGGCTCTTTTGAAAAAAAAGTTCGCTGGTATTAATAGAGAAACAGAGAACCATTTATGGAAATTCTACGGGAAAAGAATATGGCAGAGCTCTACATGACAAACTTCAGTACCTCCTTATTTGGGGGTATGTACCCATTAAGTTTTGCTGCGCTGAAAAACTCTGGATGGCTCACATCAATATCTTCATGACTGCACAATAAATTTAATGCAACAAAATCAGCGAATCTAAATACCATCCATTGGGAATTATCCACTATTTTATATTACCAACAGTTGGAGTGGTATACTCTTGTAGACAAGTCTTAATTTGAACAGGGTAAGCAATTTCCTTCAGATGCTTGATCCTTTTGGCTACTTTTTTAGCACGCAGCTCTTTGAACTTTTATTGCTTTGTGAAATTTATTAAAGAATTTTGCATAATATGAGATTTTCAACGGTTTTCTTTCTTTTCGAGACATATTTGGATCTACAGGCATTGCTCATTGTTACTGATGAATTACTAAGCAAGATTATAAGCCAACTTAAGAAGTGAGTTAAGCTTGATTCATGAAGGTAGAACAATATCCTGTGACTGATAACTGGAAGCAATAACCAAGATAGAAGCACATAAATAGCTTGGCCTTGAATGATGGATAGAACATAGTCTACATAGATGTCAATATATATGAAAGAAATTGAAAGTTCATGACATGGACCATCCAACTTAATCAAGAACTCTTACCTAACATTTAGGTCGCCGCACCATATAAGAGGCTTATCAGAAGATTGGATAACAAATTCCAACATTCTCTTATCCCATTTTCTTCTCCTCTTAAAAGAGTTCTCCTCTTCCTTCCATCCATTATTTGGTGAATATGTATTCAATAAACGAAATTCCTCAAATTCAGCTAAAATTACACGACCGTCCACTTCATGCTTTGAAGCTACAAAAAGGGACACCTGTATGATTTAATTGCTATTCCTTGTACAGATGTGAAATAACAGATTAAATATCCCACAAACTAGTTCTTTGTCATACACATTGTATGAGTCAATAAATCATTAAGAGAACAGGACATTGAATGCATCAATCCATCAATAAGAGAACAGGGCATTGAATGCATCAATGCAACTCCTCAAATAAAAAATGAATGCATTAATGCATCAATAGAAAAACACTACATAAAATGTTACAATACATCACGGAGAGAAGATACCTATTCTGTCCAGATTGAAGAAAACCTTTTTTGGTTGAAAACACTTTTTTATAAACAATGCAGTTCCAGCATACTTGGAATCTGAAAGAGACCACCAAACACGATAATTTGCAAATGGTGGACTGGAAAGAGCACGCATCAGCATCTGCATGATTTTAGGGTTGCTTTATAAGTAATAATCATAATTTTTCACCAAGAACACTGATTTATCAGCCAAATTGAAAACAACTATCACTCACCTACAAATCCCCCAAGATATGAAATAAAATTTCAGTTAGATCAGAATTTCAAGGCACCCAATAGGCTTCCAACTCATCTAGATAATTAAAGAATTACTGTAACTCTATGCCTTAAAATTACAAAAGTAATAAAAATAAATCATTTTTTCTCTTCTTTTCATCAATTGGATTATTATTAGTTTATAAACTTGATCAATTAAGTTTTGTAACCAATCTTCACATGCTTTACTTGACAACAAGCTTATTCATGTAAGAACTTGATAAATGCACAGAACAAGACTAAATTCAATGTGTTCGACACTCATTCGTCTTTCTTTTCTGCTTGATATATCAAACTTTCTCACTCATTCAGAAGCCTCAATTAATAAAAAGTAACATGAGGAAAATGTTACCTGCTTCTCTTCCCGTGATGTACTTGTGTCATCTTTCAATTCTCCTTGGTTTTTAGATGCGCCTTTTGAACCTGCTGCAGGAATCCTTACTTCCTAGTGTGTAAACATAGTGGATGATAAGGTTACAGTCCATGTAAGTGGATAATTAGAGTCTTATGTAGTTCTACAAGATAATGCGTCAGATGGAGCACTAGAATAAAGAACTCAGTATCAGATGGATTCATCAAGTAAATAACTGATCTGATTAACTGCAGTCCATACAGGACCATATGGTTGTTAAATCTAGACGGTGGGAAGTGAAATTAAGACAGTCCCCTATAAACTTATCTAATAATTCAATTGATGCCACCTACTTCAAAACTAAAATCTCTACAACCCTCCCTATGCTTCAATCCTCAAAGATATTTCTTGCATAATCATTCACTTTTCTTTCACCTATGAAGTGGGAAACTTTATGTCCCTGAGAATGTTTGGAAAAAATTCAAGAAACAAAGCAAGAATGACCCTATATAGGTCATGAGGACTATTTTGGCTATTTAAAGGAGACTTCGGGGGAGAAAAATAGGATAATTATCCTATACAATTCAGAAAGATAATCTAGAACACAAATTTGGAATTGAATGATGGTTTCACATTTTGAATCGGTTGCAAGTTACCAGGGAGTTCTGTAGCTACTCCTCCTAATTTCAGCTCAAATGAGAGCATTTTTTAGTCTTCATTTTATCTTATGCTTAAGGTCTCCCGAAATTTCTGTTCTCTTTCTTCTACATTTCTTTTAGAGTCAATGTAGTTCATCTTCTGTGTGTATGTGGTACAGGGTCCTGAAACTAGAACTACAGCTGACCTTCAAAGATACCTTGTGAAAAAACTCAAGTAACAATCCTACTGTAATAAAACATCAAAATGTCATCATCAAGTGCAGATGATCCACACCCATCTTATAAGAAAATCATTAACAGGATTTTCAATGTCAAAACTTTTTTGAGAGCTAATGCATGAACTTCCTTAAAGAAGAGAGAGGGCCAGAGAGAGAAGATATAAAACATGCCAAGCTAAGCAACTACACCAACACATTCAGTAACTCGAATTACTAATTTCTTGCAGGCAAAAGAATAAAAGAAATGTAAATCATGCGAGACCTAAGCAAGTGAACCAGCACATTCCAGGAATTATCATTTTCTCACAGCCCATTAAGAATTATAAGAACTCGCATTTACTATTCAAATATCTTGCATGATCCCAACTAGTGTACAACCTAACTTCCTGAAACACACGTTCATGAAAATTCACAGAACAGCCAAAACCAAGTGAAAAGAGATCAAACATCAGCGTCTACAAACTTCGCACAAGGTAAAGCAGAGAGGGCATTGACGCAAAACTCACTTGTATGGCAATAATATCCGGATCAAAATTGGTAACAAACTTGGTGAATTCCGGCCAGTCGTTTTTAACTCTGAGAAGTAAACTATTTGCATTCCAAGTTATAAACTTAAGAGGCTCTTTCTTGTCCGACACTGATGCTTCCGAATCATCACCATCTTTCAGTGAAGGTGAGAGAGCCGCCTTCTTCGAAGACCCTTCCTTCTCTATTGGTTTAAAGAAGCGCTTCATCCTTCGCTGACCTCCAATGGCGGTATATACTTCGCGGGAGCTTCTGGTCTTTCTAAAGCCTTTCACTCACAGTCACACCACTGGTAACATTGACGTCGTTCCACTCCAAGGCCTTGATGACAAATTATTTATATATTGTTTTTCTTTTTGCAAAATCTACAAATTTGTTTTTGATTTCTAAAATTTTCGATTTGGTTCTTAATTTTTGTTAGGTTAATATTAAAATTATTTATTTATGTTTAGTCTAAATTTTAATCTCTTAGGTTTTTTTTATTTTTTTTTATTGGGTTAATATATAGATAATCTTTAATGCATTATTATAATTGGGCAGAAATTATTTCGAATTACATCCCACAATTCAAATATTTTATTTTTTATGAAAACAATATTTTTATTGAAAATAATGAATATCCATATATTTGAATTGAATTTAAAAAAATCTAGTCAGAAACGGTCGCCCTCGACTAACGAAGAACAAACTTCAATCTAAAACAACATGACCAAATTGATAGTTAAAAACATATTATAAACAATAGCTTACGACAAGGTATGAAATATAGTGATATCGTACATTGTTCAAATATTTTAACATGACAATAACTTGATCGCACGTTATATTCTTGTTGATAAATATTAATTTTTTTTTTAATGAAATGATCTAATTAAAAAAATTTAATTTCGAGAATGTATAAAATTTAAAATTACCTCATAGCTATTAGGTAACTCCAAAAAATTTACTTATTTTTTATTTTGGTGTTTGAATTTTTAAATTCAAAATTTATGATAAAATTTTGAACCAGTAATTTTGAAATTTAAACATCATATATACGCATACTTGCAAAATTCAGGAATTCATCCTAACCACAATCAGGTACAGAAGAGAACCTAAGTTTTATGAACTATAGAACCGAAGAGTTTGCGAGTGAGAATCAAATATATTAGAAACTAACCTAACTGAACCAATGGTCCTGATTAACACATTGGTTCCCATCAAGGAAGTACTGCCTGGGGAGATATATCCAGGAAGCATCTTCATTCAGTAAATGCTGCTTTTACATTTCCTTGTAAGAAATATCATGTATATTCTACATCCTAATCTAATGAGGATGAAGCCAATGGCAAAGGTTTCAATCTTTAACACGACACGATGATAAGCTATTACATAATCGAGATACGGCTACTGTTTTAATCAAATTCGACTTGGCTGAATCGAGCAATGGATCAGCCTCAAGAGCTTTCTCAAAACAATACTTAGCCTCCTCCCATCGACCCTCTGCAATAAACACTAATCCTAGATTGTTAAATGCAGGAGCATAACCAGGTTGCAGTTCCAGAGACTTTGAGAACATAGCTTTGGCACGTTCGTACTGTTTTTGCTGTCGATACAGATTTCCGAGGTTGCAAAATACGGAATGTGCTTGTTCATTGGCCACCAATGACAAAGCTTTCTTGTATACTTCTTCGGCCTGTGTCGGGTTGTCTGAGAGTTGCAACGAGATACCTAACGATACAAAAATACGGAACACGATTGACTAATGAGAGACGGAGATCCAAGAGATTTACTAAAATCGACATTAAATTGTATTGACATACCTAGGTTTGACCATGCATAGCTACAGTTCTTAAAGCGAGCAATTGCAGCTTTGAGGTATCTTTGTGATGTTTTAAATTCTCGTGTACAGAGACTGTGGAGGCCGAATTGATGCCACTGAACAGCATCATCTGGGTCCTCAGCTATTCCCTATAGGTTAAGAGTAAGGCAATGCCCACCATCAATCTAACAAGAACATCAATAATAGATGGAAATATATTATTGTAGACTTTCAAAATTAGAACAATGTATAAAGATTTGCCACAAAAATGTAATTTTCCTATCAGTAGGCTGCTTTGCTCCTTGTATTATTCCAAAAAAACAAGATTCATAGAGCTGGAAATAACAAAAGTTGTGATCCAAGACCTCGGCGGTTGATGTAACAGCATAAGCTTGCCGCTAGCAGATATTGTCTACTTTGGCCTATAGCGTAAGGCCATCAGCCTCACGGTTTTAAAACGCATCTACTAAGGAGAGGTTTCCGCACCCTTATAAGAAATGTTTCGTTCCTTTCTCCAACCGATGTGAGATCTCACAATCCATCCCCCATTAGAGGCCCAGCGTCGTCGCTGGCACACCGCCAAGTGTCTGACTTTGAAATCATTTGTAATAGCTCAAGCCCACCGCTAGCTGATATTATTCACTTTGGTCTGTTACGTATTGCTGTCAGCCTCACAGTTTTAAAACATGTCTGATAGTGAGAGGTTTCCACACCTTTATAAGAAATGTTTCGTTCCCCTCTCGAATCGACGTGAGATCTCATAGTTGAACAACATGAAACCACATTGAAATTAATGGATACGAAGCCCTTGGTTTTCATTCCTTCGGAAAGCCTTTTGCTAAAACGAAAAGCTATACATTATAAAAAGAATAAAAATTCGATAGACGACTAAGAGATTATAAAAAAAATTGTGTTTCTTAAACACTTGGTGGACGATTGGGGACCAACAACAAAGCTAGGGCTGTATCTTTCAGAAACGAATAGTCAAGGCTAATCAAAATGGGGATTTCCAAATGATAATTAGCATACAAGAGATCTTCAAAAGTCCAATCACCATCGATAGAAGAATTTAATATCGTACCGAATAAATATTGCCAGCTTCCGTTCCAACATAGTCCAAATGATAATTGAGGGCCAAGCATGATTATAAGCATACTTTCTAGTAGCTTGGTTAGACAAAAAATACGTTCAGAACCAGAGATTGATACCTGATATAAACTGTAGACGGCGTGTTCTTCCACTTCTCTCAGTTCACTTTGATCTGTACGAAATCCAGAAGCAATCTCATGTTGAGCCTTGTGAACCATGGAAAGCCCAGCCCATGCTACAGGATGATCGATTGTCAAGCCATCTCCATCTCTAATAATTGAGGCCATTTCATTTCCAGCCCAGGAGAGCTGCTCACTACGATCTTGAGACCTTTCTGCATCCTTAAGTCGGTGCATAGCAACAGAATATCTCATAGCCATGCAATTTGGCTCCAGTTTTGCTACCTGTTGGGTATTTACAAGAGGAGAGAGAATTAGCTAATTTGAGGCCAAAACATCAAGACCCTTCTATTAATGAATTCATACAGCCATGCATACACAAGGTAAAATTCTACAAAGGTTTCCGGTAAAGACTGAATATCCCATCTTTTCCACAAAACTAGACGACATGAGAAGAAAACCTTATCCCAAATAATAGAGATCCATGAGCACCTTCTCCAAGCACTTGGCAGAACTTCTGTGGTCCCCAGTCACAAAATACACATTAGCAAGATTTGCCCAGGCATGTGCTGCTTTTGGATCTACCTTTAGAGTCGCTAGCAAACATTCCTTTGCAACATTCATACCTACAACCTTCTCATCAACACCACCTTCACCAGCATTTGCTCCAGCACCTTAAAATTTAGAAGAATGAGTACTTTTTGTGTATGGGGAAACACAAACTAATTAAGATTCTAATAAGTAGGCCAAAAAAGGGGAAAGAAAAAGGTGATGACCGAACCCATTCCAAATATTTACAAAATAAGAGGGAAAACGACAACAATGTCCTTTTCATAAGTACAATCTCTAACAAACAAACAAACCACCTCAAGCACATACCTACAACAGTAGAACCATACTTGCACAAGAGAAAAGCAGCATAGTTGATGAGAGCAGCAGGATGATTTTGATCTTTCAGGATCAATTCTTGAAAACATTTTTCTGATAGTTCCATGTTTCCACTACAACATATGTCCAACAGTAGCATGTACTTAGTATGATAGCATTAATCCAATTGGCACATTCTCAAGGCCTGAACTTCTTGTACTAACTATCGACAATGACAGGACATGCAAAAAGGCATACAAGTGATTATACATGCACAGCATCGAAAGTACTCAAAATTATCCAATTAACAAATAGCCATAGGATAATTGTTATGTGCAAAGCCAGTAAGGATACTGTATTTCTTAGGGAAAAAATTGGAAGTAAGAAGCATGCCTGACTATAAAGAAAGCTTAGGACCTTCTGCGTAATTCGAGAATTGTCGATTGAACATGCATATATTAACTTTAACGAAGCAATGGGTTTTAGCATTAATTCCATGATTATCTCATTTGCATCATCATTAATGTTTATTGGTGTACAAATCAATTTTGTCGAGTATACTGCCTTCAGTTGCTTATTTTTTCAAGTTCTAGTATCGGTTCCCTAACTCCTCAACATTTACTGGAACTGAAGTTAGAAAAACCTGAAGAGACGCAGGAAAGTTAGATTTCAGACAAGCATGGACGATTGTTGATATACCTTTGAAGATAAGCAATTCCAAGGTTTCCAAGGCAATCATAGTTGTTAGGGACAATGGCCAACAGATATGATAACACTGAAAGGGCACTCTGGACATATTAACATGAGTCCACATTAGTTTCTAAGAGGAGAGCAACCACGGAAGTGAATAGTAATAAACATGCACCTTCACTCGACCAGTAGAAAGAAGTATCAAGCCTAGGGTATTCCACATAGCTGCCTGTCTAACATCAGATTGAATTGAATGCTTAAGTTTAGAAAGAATCTCGTCAAGCTCCTCTTGATCAAGTTCTTTGTCTGAACTATTATCCCCTGCTGCACTTTCTAGAAGGAGACACTAGACAGTTCATAGAACAGGTGAGCATAATCAGGTTGGTAATATCTATTATTTACAAATAGAGACGAAGTATAACGTAAGAGGAGAGAGGTAAGGTTGAACATGGATATAAAATGTAACCTGTGCATGATGAGTTTGGACCAATGAGAGCAACTCTGGCCTGTGAATCTCAACATCACTTTGGAGTAAGATTTCCTCTGCCTTCTCATATGCTGAAACAGCCTGAAAGAGTACCACAGTTTTAATTAATAATAGAACAAGAAAATTAACCAAAACAAGTATGGTGTGCAAGCCAAGCTACCTTTTGTGGCTGGCCCAACCTCTGATACATTAGGCCAAGAATGAAATGAGCGTGAGCATTTTTTGGCATCTTTCTTGCTACATGAACTAACCCCTACAGGCAGGCATTCCAATAATCAAGGTAAATAAGAAGTCACATCCTGAGTACTTGGTTGTGGGGTGAGGGGAGTGAGATGTGGCCGTGGATGTATGTATTGAATACAGAATAAGCTTTGAAAACAAATGGATAACATAGAAGACTATAAATACACAATTTGATTGAATTTCTGCAAGAGAAAAGGATATCCAAGTGCAACAATACATTTTTATTTGGAACAATTTCATCAACAAAATCAGACATCGAAAGATTTACCTAAAAGAAGCTACAAGGGCATACTTAAACAAAATCTATTAAGAAGTCAAGGATTCAAATAATACATGTATCCAAATTGCAGGGCAAAGAAGAGAGACCAAGAGTTTTCCATCATTTAAGTTAATCAAAAAAAGTTAACACTCCGTACACTGATCCTTCAGGAGATCAAACTGCATAAGCAATCGTCTTTTAAAAATAAAATAAAATAAAAAAAGAAACAAAACTTTTCATTGATAAGATAAAAAGATACTAAAATTCAAAAGATACAAACTCCACGTAGAAGAAAGAAAAAACATTCCAAAATAAACAAATATCCTGCAGAAGAAACTTGCAAGATTCGCAAACAAAGCTCCAAAAAAAACTCCCAAAGATGCAAAAATCCACCAACTTAAGACAATAAGCCCCTAAAATAGCTTCTACCAAAAATGCTTGCCAAAAAAAACCAGACTGCAAACTTAACAGTTTCAAGGCGATCCAACCAAAGGAGAAAATTTCTTGCAAAGATGCATTAAATCCAAACAAAAACGAACTCCAGAATTTGCAACAAGCTAAAACCACCAATATGAGACAGAAAAGTCCCATAACATGCTGCGCCCACCACACCAAACACGCCAACCAAAAAGGAAAAAGGAAGATCCATGAAAAGCCAGAGAAAACCCAGTAACCAGACCAACAAGACCAAAACCAAACCTTGAAACGATAAGGCATCTTCTTGAGAAATAAAAAGATATGAAGGAAATATAACAAAACCTGCCACAAAAAAAACCCTGGACAAAACCCAGATCAAACAAACTGCTGAAAGAACAAAGGGATCGAACTACATGGTGACTGTTATTATTGGTATTTCAATCTCTTTGACCTTTGGCAGCAGTGGCCTGTGTCTTTACCTTTATCCTGTGATACGTCTTAAAGAAAACTACTTACCATCCAAAAGGACAAGTCTGAAATATGGGAAAGAAAAAGGGCGCCCCCATTAACCATCCAAAAATCTGATTTTCCCCAGCTCACAAACCAAAACATAATTTTAGTTGTACTATTCGAAAGAAGCAGCCCATGAGCCAAAAAAATTATATGCATGCAAAAATTAGATGTAAACTTGTCTGATAGAGGTCTTAAGTTAAGAAATAGCGGGCCGTTCTTACAAGGTTTACATGCACACAAGATTTTTGAAACCACCTTTTCACATGGCAAGCAATAGAATGCATCATATCGAAGATGCAGGAAATACAACAGCAAAGGAAGCAGGTGATATACAGAAAACAAAGGTTAAAATGAGAAGAAAACCAAATGTTGACAAAACTCACAGTTTTGAGGCTGCTGACTTTTTCTTCGCGTGAAGTTGAAACACCTTGACCATGTTGATCACCATCTGCATCAGCTGCAGAATCAAGAGAGTACTCTACCTTATTGTTTCTTGAACGGCACTTTCCTATTTTGCTTACATGTCTACCTTCAACTTCCATTGTATTAGCATCCTTGCAAATTGCCACAGTTTTGTCTTGATTGCTCTCATCCACAGATAACCTAAAATCACACGCTTATTTTTAACAAGAAGCCACAAAAATTTATTACAATAATTTTTAGTAGGTACTAACCTATAGGAAAACCTCAAACCCTAAAATGGACCTTTTTCTGGGACAAAGAAAGTAAAAAACCTTGATTATATTTCAGTTCCCAAATTTGGTATTTTGCCTTACCTTGGAGGGCCCCTAATGATACAGCTGAACCTCACGAAGAGGCTTAAGATCATATGCCGTCACACTGTCTTTAACCTTTTCGTTTGGGATTTAATGGAGGGGAAGATTTTAGGACGTTTCACAAAAAGGAATTTTGATGAGGTTTGCAAGAAAGTTTTAAACAATGAGAGCCTTTTGAGCTTCTTGATTACAGTGACTTCTGCAGTTATCTTAATCTTTTGTCATGTCTAGTAAGATAACTCGTTATCCGGCTAATCTCATGTTTGGGTTTGAACTCCTAGTAACTAGTGCTCCCTCCAATTTTACATGTTTTTGGGTGGAATGCATGTTCCATCCAAAATAATAGTACCAATGAGTTCATGCGGTACCTTGCTGATCAAAACAAAGACAGTCGATGAAGCATTATTTTGACACATTTTCTTCGTTTCATAAGCCTTGATTCACAATTCACACCATCCATTACAGAAATCCTACTTTAAAAAATAATTTGATTAGCAGGCAAGGACGAATACATAAAGGGCACTTTCTCAAAGTACCTCCGAATCATTAGCAAGAAGGTCAGCAACTTCTTTTGTACTATGTTTTTCTAGTTTTAATTAGACTGTTAACAAATAACCTAAACTACTCTCGATCGAAAAACAAGAAATAAACCGCTCAACAGTTTGCCGGTACAATTTTGGTTCTTCAAGAGTAAATAGACCACAATTAAAACCAGGACTCCCTAGCAAGGAGATTTTATGAACCAAAAGGAGTAAACGCTACCAAAAATTTCCAAATTCGATTAAAAAAGTAGACAGAAAAGAAAGTAACCTAGAGATAGTCGAAGCTGAAACGTGAACGGAACTGTCGTCGTCCATTTCTGGAGGATCAACATTGAGGTCAGCAAGAACAACGACTTTAGAAGAATGGGCCGCCTTCGAGTGCTCGTCGAGGGAGCTGTCCGATGCTCCATGTTCTGTCTTGAGAGGCATTTTGGGAGCAGCTGGAGCTTTTCGGCGCTTAAAGACTTTGTGGCGCGACCGTCGACGCGAAAGAAGTAAAGAATGAAAGAAGAAGACCCTTGTTTGGTTGCGCGGATTGCTTAGCCGCTGTTTGGATGCGGAAACAACCTGCACCGACTTACGCCTGCTGACATTTTTGGTGTAATTTTAACGCAGGATTAAAGAAAAAATTAAGGTCACGTGGTTAAGGATTTCTTTATTATTATTCTTTCCCCTTTTGTTGAATATAATACAAAGAACAAACAAATGAATTTGTCTCGAATAACTGGAGTGTTCATGCAATCCGAACAATCTGATCATTCAACCCAAACTACAAAAATTGTCCGTAGCTAGAATTGGTTTAAATTTAGACATGTTCATAGAACACGAACTATCTGATCATTCAATCTAAACAAGGGTTGTTTGGTTGTTTGTAGCTAGGATCGGGTTAATTTTTTTGAAATCGGAAAAAGTCAGTCCAATTGCCCAAATAAGCGTTGTTAGGTCAACCTGATGACTAAAATAAGGTTCACAACTCAATTTATTTATATTTTCTTCTCATACCATCTGAAGTATCAAATACCAAAAACTTGAATAAATTACATCACAAATCATGACCTTAAGACATACGACTCTTCCCAATGGTATGATATTGTCCACTTTGAGCATAAACTCTCATGACTTTGTTTTGGGCTCCCCCAAAAGGCCTCGTACCAATGAAGAGAGTATTCCTTGATTATAAACTCATCATCCAACATCTCCCCTCAAACAAAATGCGACTCTCCTTCATCGAGGCTCACGAAAAGTGTTACCCTTTAAAGTACTACTATTCTCAAACAACTTACCATAATTAAAAATAATCAAAAGTACTACCTTCTCAAAAAAGTACTTTTGACAACTACTCATCTTCCTCATCTATAACAGACACACTAACACAAACAAACATATAACTCACACCAAAGAATGCCTTACTCCTTACTCCTTAACACCTTCCCATATTTCCGACTCCGATCCAAGTTGAGATGGGTATCGGAGACAGGATCATGCTTTTGGAGTCAGCACCTTCCACTGTTCGCCTAATCCGATGGTTTCAGTGTGTTTTACCATTGGAGACAGCATCATGCTTGTGGAGTGGGCCAACAGCGGTATGACGTTTACTCTTTAGAGATATAACAAGCAACTATACATCAATAATTGGGCTCGGTTTCTAGTATCATTCAATATAGAATACGGTCCTGTCTGGCGCATTAGTCATATCAACCTAATGAAATCATCTCATGATAGACGAAACACTGAAAGATAGACCAGTGTTGACCTCTATTTACACCGTTCTCCAGATAAGGTAGTTTGAACCATGCGTTAACTTACTACGCCCAACTACTCTAATACAATGCTGGAGGAGACTGGATCACACATTACATCCTAGAGACCACGATAATAATACGGGTGAGTTATCATCTTTAACATTCATGGGATGCGAATTACAAGACCAGTTATCTGCTTTGTATTCGACTTTACCTTTCCATTGGATGATAATTTGAATAACACACCAGAAAGTTATCGACCCTCGTAGACGTAGAGAATGAAAAAATTGGGAATACTTTAGCGTGTGGCGTATCCTCTTTTTGGAGTGGTGGTGTATCGACTTTTTGCTGTGGTGGCGGATTATTGCATTTCTGTGTAATATACATAGCATATGACCCACAAAACCTTATAACCCACCTTCGGTGTTTTTGGAGTGGCGGATTATTGGTTTTCTGTGTAATATACATAGCCTATTACCCACAATTCCTATTACCGGGAGACAGGAAAATGATATCGGAGAAAGAAAGAAAAAGAAAGAGGCTTTCCCCATATTATATATTTTATTATAATTTGCAATTTTAGAATGTAAAAGTTGATTAAAAATGTAACTTGGTCGATGATCTTAATGAACTAAGAGAAAGGTGAAACCCCAAGAAAAGTAGATTAAATCTCCATAACTCTGTGAACTCAATCTCGAGGACCAAACAAAAAAGGGCATTTACATGGAAGAAAAAGCATGCCCGTAATTGAAAGGCCTAATACAAAAATAAACAAAAGAGAAGAAAAAAAAGCACGAGAAGAAAATTAGTAGTGATTTAGTGAAAAGTACTGTCCACCACCATCAACCCTTTGTTTCATGTTGTGCGAAGCAGCAGCAGCAGCAGCAGAAGAGCATATTATGAGATATAAAAGATCCTGTCTAAACAATATCATATCACAACACTTACCCCTAAAGTTCTGAAGAACAGTGAAGAAAAAAGGAGAAAAAGAAGAAGCAGAAGCCGAGATTTTTATACAATGGCAAAGGATCATCATATTTATTATCTCCTTATCAGGCCTCTGCTTAAAGTAAGACCATCATCACGAGGAGGAAGAAGTAAGGAAGGAAAAGATCCCATCATCATTATCTGATCTACTATTCTACCTTAAGACGAGTCCAAGCAGGCAGCAGAGGAGAGCTCGTGGCGCTTCGGAACGGTGTAGAGGAGATTTAACAATCTAAAACTCTGTTTTTTCCCTCAGGAAGCTGCAGCCAAGAGCACTGAAGAATCTGCTGCATCACCAGATGATCCGAAGGAGGATGGTAAAAGCCATCCTTTCTTTTGGGCGTGCTCCACATAGGAAGTGAATTTCTTGCTTGCATTTGGAATGTCGAGTGCGAGATCGTCGAGGCTGTCTTTGATCCTAGAGAAGCCTTTGGTCATCTGGTTGATGGTGATCAGGCCAACATTGAAGCATTCCTGTAGAAGATCTAGAATCCTGTCGTTCTTCTTCTCCATGGCCATAACCAATGCCTTCTTTACAACCTCGTGGTTGAAGAAAGGCATCCCTAGATCACGGATGCACTGAAGAGCTTCACTCACAACTCCTCCACTTTCGTACTCCTCTAAGAGCTTCTGAATCTTGTCCTTTGCATCCTCTACTGCCCAGCCAGTTCCACCGCCCCAGCATCTTAAAAGCCGCTCACCAGCATGCCGAGCTGCAATTAATGACCGGGCCATTCGAACAGTTTCACTACCTGTACAATTTGGGATCAACCTACAAGCGATATCCTCGAGATTTAGAGGAGCCAAGACGTCGTCAATCACAGCCCTGGCTAGAAAGAGAGCAAGCTCATTTGATGCATCCAAAATGTCTAGGGCTGTATCTTCTGCAGACTCGAGTAGCATTACAAAACCATTGACTATATCCTCTGTAGAAAATATCTCAATGTGAAGAACTGAAAGGAGCACTGAAGCCATTTCTTTTTCTCTGTTTTTCCTATCCATTGCAAGTGTAATCAGCCTCTTCAAAAAGATTGGATTATACTCGGGTGCACCAAGATCTTCTAGGCTTCTTATTAATTCAGGAATGTCATCTGAAAGAAAATATTCATGAATTATAGTTACAACCTCTTCCTTATAGCACCTCAACTTTTCATCTGTAGATCCAACATCTATATCTTCATCCGAAGATTTCATGAAGGAAACATCGAGCCATCCTTCAGATATGGCCCTCGGGACCAACGATTCAAACAACGATTTTGCCAATGGTATATCAAGAGCAAGGTCGTCAAGGCTCTCCGCCAGCCTAGAAAACCCCTTAATCATTTGACTTGAGCTTATCAGACCTTCTTCAGCAGCTTCATTCAGAAGCTTCAGTATCCGGGGTTCTGCTTTTCGGATCTCCATGGCAAGAATCAAAGCCCTCTTCACAACCTCATGATGAAAGAATGAAACGCTTAACTGCCTTATGCATCTGCAAGCCTCGATGGTATCTCCATTCTCAACATATTCCCTTAAGAGATATGCTATCTTTTTCTTCACTTCCTCAACTGTAAAATGTGTGCTGCCTCCCCATTTTTTCTCCACAAGTTCGGCATGATGTGGAGCAGAGAGATAGCTCTTCTCGGCGGTTTGGATAGCCTGAGTTCCTTTGGATGGTTCCAACAATGCCTTCCTTGCCCTGGCTAGAAATGCTAAGGGAAGTATGTCATCAACTACAGCACGAGCTAAGAACAAAGCAAGGATATCAGCTGCATCTGGTATATCGACAGCAAGATCATCAGCAGATTCAAGTAACATAAAAAATCCATCTCTTATATGGGCAGGACTGATAACATCGACATACAAAGCTGATAGCAGAACTGAAGCCATTTCCTTCTCCTTATCATGTCTGTCCATTGCCATAGATACTAGCCGTTTAATAAAGTAAGGATGATAGTTACTTGAGCCTAGATCTCCAAGATCAAATGCAGCCAATTCCACGTCACCAGTGCTAAAGTATTCCTCTATAATAGATACAACAGATTTCTTATAATTATCTAAGGGATCTGATGCAGTCGACCCAACAAGTTGATATCGTTCCTATTAAAGAGGAAATGTCAAAGACATTACAAACATTTAGGTTTGGAAAGAATAATAAATTAAAAGCTTCTCCATCAATCTCAATCCACCAAATACAATTCCACTAGCGTGTGTACTATTACCAGTCCATATGTTAGGCAGTACGTGGGAAATCGTGCAAGTACCATTAGCATCACAAGTTGCAATCATCGTACCTCAAACCTTAATAATTGGGTATGCTATTTTCTCTGGGACTTAGGATCATCATAGGACAGACGTGCATGTGCGTTATATTGGGCAATCATACACAATATCAGAAAATGAAGTCCAACTCAATATTGAAATTACCTCACCACTGTCATAGTTAGGATCATTTCTGTCAGTATGAGAATCATCATCAGTGTCAAGCAATTTACCCCAGGTGCCCTTTCCACCAGCCCCATCTGCTAACAACAGCATATACTAGTGGTTAAAACAGTAAGAACAGGTTAAGCTGCTTAAATTACATCTCAAAATATAAATAGTCTCATGTATATAATTTAACAAGGTAAGATTTCAAAACCATTGCATTGTTCACTACAGAACCAGAAATGAAAATGAAAATGGCTAAGGAGAAAGGCGAAGGGAAATGTTTCACAGGCAAGGCTGAAAATAAATTTAAATCCACCAATATAATCATACAGATTTCACACCAATATAATGAAATCATGCACACAAAAGCATTAATCGTCAAGTTTTAATAATCATGATTTTAACTGTAAACTGCAGAAATA